GAAGGGTGGCTGGCCTCTCCCTTAGAGATAGGGTGAGAAGTTTGGCCATCCGGGAGGGGCTCAGCGTAGAGCAGCTGCTGCTCCACATCGAAAGGAGCCAGCTGAGGTGGTTCGGGCATCTGATAAGGATGCCCCCTGGGTGCCTCCTGGGTGAGGTGTTCCAGGCATGTCCCACTGGGAGGAGGCCCCGGGGCAGACCCAGGACACGCTGGAGAGATTATATCTCTCGGCTGGCCTGGGAACGCCTTGGTGTTCCCCCGGATAAGCTGGAGGAGGTGGCTGGGGAGAGGGAGGTCTGGGCCTCTTTGCTTAGGCTGCTGCCCCCGCGACCCGGCCTTGGATAAAGCGGATGAAGATGGATGGATGGAAGTTCATTTTCAGAAATATTTCAGTCTCTTAAAGCAAATAGAGCTGCACAACATGGTATCAAGTAAATAAATGTCTGAAAAAAGAGGAAGCTATTGTTTAATATGCACTACAGCATCATGGACTGTGGGTCTTAACTTGTGATTTGTGTGGTGAATAACAGTGAGGTTATAACTGACCTGTTGGCTGCTCCTGTGTATTTGCTGATCAGCCGATCAGAAACTGTACCATCAGCTGCATAGCCAACAACCGTAGCTGGAAATTTCACACTGTCATATTAATGCAGGGTGGAGCACAAGATCTAACAATGTCTGACTTGGCTTCCGAACATAGGCTGTATTAACTGAGGATGACAAAAAAGTACCAGTCACTTTGTTTCTGTTTCAACATTAGTCCCCCCTAATGTAGAGGACGATATCGTCTGGCAGCTTTTACAATCAGAGTCATGATCTGAATGCACTGTTGTGCCAAACACATATGCTTTTCTTAGAAGAGCTCTATAAATTTAATATAGGCTCTTGTTGGTGTTCCTTTCTTTTCTTATGTATTTAGTTCATTCATTTCCATTATTATTCACATGAGTACATGTGTAATATTATCTGTCTATCTAGCTATGAAAATATTCCAACAAATTATGAAACAAAGAATTGAAAAACACTTGAAACATATTTACAAATATGACTTGATACAATCTTTGGTTCATATGGTACTATGTCATGTCATATTTACTCTCATGTTGTGAACCACTCTGTGTGAAACTTCAGAAAACTGTTCTTCTGTGCTGTGAAACAGAGGTGCACATTATCACTTTTGTGATCTTGTGCACCCAGGAATCCTGCATCTTCCCTTTCCTTGTTCAGCTTAATTCAGTTTTATTTATTTAACGCCAAGTCACAACAATACTCACCTTGAGGTGCTTTATATTGAAAAGTAAAGATTCTACAATAATACAGAGAAAACCCCAACAATCAGATAATCCTCTATGAGTGAGCATTGGCAACAGTGGGAAGGAAAAGCAGGAATAAATCCTTTGTCCAACCTGACTCATGCAAGGGAGACATCTGCCCCAACTGGCTGGAAATGAGGGGGTTGTCATATATTGTTTACTTGTATTGTCTAACCGGAGATCCTGATTTGGAATGGGAGCTGTGGGTCTCTTTTGAGATATCCAAATGTTGGGCTGCCATCAAGAAGTATCCCTTATTCCACAATGTTGCCCTGTGGAAAAGAAAACTGAATTTTTTTAACATGCAAAATAAAAGACTCTTTCTAAAACCTGAAAAGCTGCTTTCTACAGCTTCACACACACACAAGTAATTTTTATTTAAACATTGATGCCATTTTAAATATGATTAGTAGGACAAATATTCTTACCTTCTCACACCTTGTGGTCTTTTGACCATGTGTCAGAAACGGACATTCCACTTTTAAATCAAGCTTGATAGTGACTTTAAAATCTTAATGAACTGAAATGTGATATTTTTTAAAACACTGATTGGTTGGCACCATTTAAGTTGCACTTCTTCTATTTGCCGGTGGTACCTGCTGTCCAGTGGCCTGCCCTTCCACAATGCTGTCTCTTCTGAATTTAAAGTGCTTCTCATCACATGCAAGATCTTGAACAATCAGGTTCAGTCTTATCTTAAAGACCTCACAGTACTGTATTACCCTAATTGAGCACTTTGCTCTCAGACTGATATACGTGTGGTTCTTAAGATATTTAAATGTAGAATGGGAAGCAGAGCCTTCAGCATTCAGGCCTCTCTTCTGTGGAACCAGTTTCCAGTTTTGATTCAGACACCTTCTCTACTTTCACGATTAGGTTTAAAACTTTCCTCTATGACAGAGCAGATACTGTAGTTAGGCCTGGATCGAGTAACCCTGAATTTTCCCTTAGTCACACTGCAATAAGCCTCGGCTTTTGAGGGCTTCCCATGATGCACTGCGTATTTCTTCTTATTCACCTTTCACTCACTGTGTGACTGTGTGACTACAGACCACGTTGCATTTAATCTCGCACTCTCTTCCACAGCACGTCTTTTGTCCTGTCTTCCTCCTATTACTCCCAACTACTCTCAACAGATGACGCTCCCTCCCTGAGCCTGGTTCTGCTGGAAGGTTCTTCCTGTTAAAAGGAAGTTTTTCCTTCCCATGGTTGCCAAGTGCTTGGTCATGGTGATCATCTGATTGTTGTGGGGCAACTGTTTTTGTGATTTGGCACTAGTGTATTCATCTCTGTGCTTGTCCTGGCCCCAATGATCTCAGTGCAGCATTTGATAAAGTTTTAAACAGTTGCTGTTATGTTAAACATCGTTCTAATCTATTTTTCATTTTTCAGAAACAAACTAAATCCACAATCAAGAATGGGGAACCAAGTACCAAAGGAGAGTAACATGGGCTCCTGCCTCAGATGCTCAAAATTACAAAACTGGTATCAAAATACTGAATCACACTTTCACTGGAAAAAAGTGTGTGAGTAACGACTTTTAATAACAAAATAAACAAACAAAATAATGACAGTGAAGGAAAGCAAAGTCTTCTGACATCTTTATTATTTAGGTTTTTACTGATATTTTAGAGTTCATTAATAAGGAAAACTATTTGTAACTTATTACACATTCTTAGACAATTTAAAAAAATAACACATATTCTGTTGTTTTAAATTTGCCTAAATGTTGTTCATTCAAAATGCAAGATGGACCCAGTTTTACCAGCTGCAAGATTTATGTGAGCTAGGGTCACATCAGTAAAACTAATTTATTATTGTAAATAAATACTGTCCAAAAATCTTGAATCCAACTCTCTTTCTTTATATTTCACTTCAAATGTTCTTGTAAGTTCTTAAACTGGTCTTGAACAATAGGTCTTTTAAAGTTTTTGTTTGGACACCTTTTTCATTCTAATCCTTGTACCTGTGCATACCTACTAGTGGTGCAACGGATCAAAAATCTCATGGTTCGGATTGGATCACGGTTTTAAGTCACGGATCGGATCAATTTTCGGATCAGCAAAAATAGAAAAAAAAAGACAAAAATTTGACTCGCCATTTACTTATTTAAGTATTTTTTGCCTATTAAAAACATTCAACTGAAGACTCATTCCACGCACTTATATAAAACCAAATTAAGGTGCATATGGACATTATGGACCATGCTGGGCATCCTCTGCACACGGCCAGGTGCTGCTAGAGCAAGGCAGACGTTGCTTGCTTTCTTTTGGTGTTGCAGGGTGGAACTATACAGGTACAGAGGGAGAAAATGTGGAGCTGTTGGCGACGTGTGGCACTGTTGCTGAATTTTGGAAAGAGACTCAGGTCAAGGCTTGAGTTTTTGTGCTGATGTTTAAACAATGGGAACTCATATCAATTCAATTGGCAGTCCTGAGTTGAGGTAATAGTTATATTAGTTATGTAGTAATAGGTATGTAATAGTTATATATAATAATATAATTGCTATTCGAAGAGCAAAATAAGGAAATAATTTTGAAAATGAGGAGTGGAATCACCATTTTAAATAAATCTTTGATTTTTGAAATAATTTACTTATGTTGCTTTTTTTAAAATGTATTTTAAAACAAAGTTATGAACATTTCTTTTTTAGAAATGTGATTTTAATAGAAAGTTTAATCAAGCATTTATTAATGGATTAATAATTTATTTTGAAATATTTATTTATAAATATTTTTTTATTTTAAATTAAATTATTAAAGGTGAAGGAAAATCTTAACCTTGTTCAGGAAATCTAAAATAAATTGAAATGCGCACAAACAAGTTGTCTTTGTGAGGTTTTATTTTCCTTTGCAAAGGGGTCAATCAATACAGAGTAATACAGAGTCAGAAAGGCTTTTGACCAAGAAGAAGTACAAACAGAAATACCCACTATCGTCACAGAGTACAATCAGAACATTTCGTACAAAAGATAACTTGTACAGTTGAGGATATTCTGTATTAAAAGAGTATATAGAGATTGTTGTAAATAAACATTGTGCTAGAGTCTTAAATCACACTTATTTCTTCATATTTTGCTACCCAGTAGAAAGACTGTCGTATAGTTTTATAAAGTAGTTTGAAGCAATACTTCTCTAGGCTCTGTGAAGCTCTTTCATTGCCTTGGAAATGAATGCATGGCCTTATATTGGCATTTTCCTGCACTTTCAATCCAGTTATTGTACCTGACTGCTTTCAGAATTATGTTTTTCATTTGTTTGCTAAGCCACTTAACACCGACCTATGAATCAACTTAGCAAATCTGTATCTTTAGGCACTTTACTACAATGGCAGCATGTTGCAAAAGTACACAATTTGTTCCCATTTCTGAATCTATATTACAAAAACTAACAATACAACTGGACTGACATAAAATATTTTTTGCACCTAAAATGTTATTCTCAAGGAGCTATTAGCTGAAAACCAATAAGAGCACAATACACACCATGCACGTTGCATGAAAAATCAAGGTCCTGGTTCCGACACCATTACCACAAGCACTTTTGCAGTGTTGTGTTACATATTTTTACTTAAAGGTCAACAAGAGCCCATGTGAATTTAATGAAGAACTAGATGCATCTGATGCAGGGACAGGAGTGCGGTTTTCACAGTTTTTTGTAAAATTCCATATTCTTGTGCCTTTTTTCAATCACTGTCTAAACTAATCAGAGTGTAACTAGTAAATGGGATTCCCAAGTGCAGCATCATCTTCAACACTACCATAGACACTGGTCTATGGTAGTGTTGATACTTGAATAGCTCTACTCAGGACTGCAGACCAAAGCAAACATCACCTTACGATCATGGCCTGTACCTATGACTCTGGTAATACAGTTTGGTTGTCCTCAAAAGATATTCCATTAAAAATGGAATACACTGTGCACAACATGGGATCTGTCAATGTCTGGGATACATGTTACTGTTTCAGTTTAAGTATCATGCCACAGCTGATGTTAACATAAAAAGATAGCTAGTAAGTGAGGATGAGCAGATTTAGGATTAAAGAAAGGTGAGATAGAGTCAACATTACATTGGTATTGTTTTTTTCTGTAACAGTTCCTCTCATTGAATTCACAGAGTTGGTTTCAATAATTTCCTGTTTATACCACTGTTATGGCACAAATAATCAGAATCAACAGGGACAACTTCAGCTCTACAAAAAATACTTGTAATAGGCACTTTTAGTTACTTTGTTGTGACTGCTGACAAATGAAAGAAGGAACTCTACCAGTTCTCTTTTCAAGGAATGACAATAAAATCCACACCAAGACCTAATGCGTGTGAGCATCGGCAGAGAGCACTGCATTGTTCATGACAACAGATAAAGGTACAACCCTGGTTTCAAATTCAGTGTTTTGCAGGCTCAGACAGGCACATACTTTTCTGCCACTCCTTACTTCCTCATTCATTAGTTCCTCAGTTAGCACATGTTTTCTCTAGATCCACAACAGCACAGTGCAACAGCGCAACAGTCCTGAGTTTCAGGAGTTGCACAAATTGGACATACAAATTGGACTCTCTATAGAAAGCAGAGTCCAATTTGCATGTTTCCCTGAGAGTCTCCCCATTGACAAACAGTCTGAACACACACAAGCATATTTTATGTATGATCTACAACAGCTCTGAAACTCCAGAACAGCTTCAAACATCTGTTATACGCAGAGTACCCTAACTAACCCTAACATACATCTTTTTTTCTAAGAAAACAAAACCAAAGTCAAAAAATAACAAAAACAACCAAGAGATGCTATAACAATAAATAAATGACAAAAAATGAACTGAACTGGAGATTTTAGTCTTAGAGCTGAAAGCTGAAGCTATAGCATGTTCCAACTACACTTTTCACATGCAGTATATTCTAAATAAACGAAACTAAGACCAAAGGAAACATAGTAAAAAAAAAGTAAAATAATTTTGAAAGAATAAATAACAATAAACATACAGAAATAAACACACACAAAAATATTCTTTTTTTTATAAACAATGAAAGTTTTGATTCACTTTCATATTTTTTAGCACCATGTTTTTAAAACTTACATAGTGGTACACACTCTTAATAATTTATAACAGCTACTTTTGACTAGTTACTAATTATTATACATTTTATTTTGCTGTAATTTAGTGATGATGTATCTGTCGCAACATTTTTTTCCACTGCATTCAGGCACTGTTCTAAACTTTTCCCAGAGAAAAGTAAATGACTATAACTGATGATACATTACAGCAAATAAAGTTGTAGTAATTTAGATACGATTCATGCATGTCCAGTATAAACTGTTTGGGGTCCAGCACTGAACCGTTGAACCCCACAGGTAACCTTCAGTAAATTGAAATCAAAGTTAAAATAGTTAAATACTACAGTATCAATTAGTACATACATCTGTCATCAAAGTAACTGTTTACCTTTGTAAATGTTAGATAGCTAACATTTTTAGAATTTTTCTATTTTATTCCTAAATAAATGAAATAAATCTTAAATTTTATTTAAAAATGTACTAAAAAACACTTTACTGCTCTCACCTCTCTATGCAGAACTTTAGTTTAAAGTGTGCACAGACGATCTGAATATTAGTTCAGGTTGTGCTCAGTGCATGTGCCAAGTGTTCAAACTGACTGAAACAGACATTTGAGAGCTCACAAACACACAGTAGTTTTACATATTTGTCAATGTGACTTTTCATTTGGTAATGACCTTATTACTGTGAGTTTCATTTGGAAAAGCTTCATCAAGAGATGAATCACATTGACTGAACAGTGAACAGATTCACCTTTGCCTTTTCATTCAGATGACATAATTCTGTCTGTTCTGTCTGGCACACGGGAAGAAGCTTCTGATGGTTTTCAGCCAGCCCTCTGTAAAGAAGAAACACAGCATCAGGTCAGATCAGAGTCCTGACCAAGACCAAGATCACGTGACTGTGTGTAGTTAGTATGAAGGACAGAGGATAATAAACACTCACATTCAGAGCTGTTTTTCCTGTTTCCTGAAAACGTCTTTGCTGAAAACAATTACTTTGTACTAAATATAGTTATTACTTAGGACTGTAGTTTTATTCTCTATGATTTCATCTACAAAAAAAAAAAACTCTTCCCACTTCATGACTGTTACTGGAGATTAATGCTTCAGTGGGAAATCTGCACAATTGCAACTGCAAACCATTCTGAAATGCTATGAGGTAACCCATTTTGTAACCTGATGTGCTCTTCCCTACAAATGTAACTGCCTGTTGCATCAACACAGCTCACAACTGCTGTCACTTTGCACTTTTGTAGTTTACTACACAGGTTCTAAGATTCGTGATAGCCTGCATTCTTCTGTCTCTCACACTGCTTTTCATTTACTGTATAACTCATCAGTTCTTCAGTTTTTTTTATGTGAAGACAGACCTTCACAGACAACTTAGTAATATGCTTAAATGTGACTGTAGATGTTTCTTTGAAACAAAGCAAGTTAACACACTAAGACATCATCAGGATCTTTCAAGCTCACATCCTCTAATACTGACCTTTGACCCAGAGTGCCACTACTTTCTGTTTCAGGGCCTTTCCATGCGTGTCATACATGGTGCATATGTAAACACCTCCATCTTCAGAGCGAGGACCTAACAAAGTTAGGCTGGCGTTTCCTGTGTTCCATGGATCTTTCCTCATCTCTGTGCGGTTTGTGTAAGGTACGTCTTGACTTTTCCGATCCTTCTCATACACGACCTTCATTTCGTCTTCTTGGATATGTTTCCACTCCACTTTGGCGGTCTCCGTATTCCTCAGTTTTTTGGATATGAAGGGTAGCAGGACAGAGTCTGCTCCCTCTGTCACATCAACAACTTTGAGCTGGCATACTGAGGGAACAGAGCAGAACATGAGCTGCGCCAAACAGAAACTGTAAATCACATTAAAAACAAACATTTGAAGTATAGTTGAGACGAAAATCAGTGTTCAAAATGTTTTTAAAAATCGGATTGAGAAATGTCTTGATGCATTTTCAATCATCCAGGAAAGTAAATCTCCAAAAGTTGATTCTGTTCATCTGGACGTAGCGTTTTGTGGGAGAAACGTTTTGTCACTCATCCAAGTGACTTCTTCTGTCTCAGCTGACTGCAGGTTTCCCCAATCTTATAAACAGTACATTTGCATAATGACCATTGATCAACAACCACTGACCAAAAGCCACTGATCAATGGCCATGAGTACCATTCACAGAGAGTTGGGGAATGGCTGCAAGTCATGAGAATTTGCATGGTTATGATTAAAGAACTGACCTCCCAGCCCATTGTTCCTTCAGTGGGCTGGTTTCAGTCATTATGCAAATGTACTGTTTATAAGATTGGGGAAACATGCAGTCAGCTGAGACTGAAGAAGTCACTTGGATGAGTGACGAAACGTTTCCCCCACAATATGCTACGTCCAGATGAACAGAATCAACCTTTGGAGACTGATTGAGGAATAATTGTCATTAAGTCAAGTTATTTTGTGTTCCACTATTCAGACAAAAGATAATTGAGAGGTTTCACAGAGGTATAGAAAGAGCAAACTGCACAAGACATCAACACTAATTTAAAAACATTAGAAATGAGACGAAGCTACTTCTGGATATTCTCTCACTCACAAGGGGTTGCCTTTAATTTTTCATTTGGCAGGTTTGAGATGCCAGGAATATCCACACAGAGAACTCAGATAGCACAACAAGAATATACAAACTCCACTCAGGAGTTTCCACTCTACCCTATTTAGTCCTCATTCTATCTGTATGTAGACATAGCTCCAGCATACCTTTGTCTTTTGTCACAGTTTCTGTATTGTCCTCCTCGGGTTTCTAATCCTTGTTTTGTTCATTGTTTTTTTTACCCTCGTGTTCTTTTGGACTTCTTTTGGCTTTTTGGATTTCAATGCTCTTTGAATTTGACTTTAATAAAGGTTACAATACCTTTCTTTTTGTTCTTTTGACATGAGGTTTAAATCCTGCATTGGGGTCTTCATTGAGAGAAATGTGATTTAATGGCACTGAGAGGTCAGTAGCTTTTTTCTGGTTGATTGCACACGCATGTTTTGGGTCTTTGCGGGGAGCCTGATGGAGGAGAAGTGTTTGAGGCAACCTGCGTTTGGCTCTTTCACTTCTCTGTTACCATCTCGGCAACACTGTTTAATAAAACTGGTAAGTTGAACAGATGCAGGCTCCAGCTTTCGAAAAAACATCTATTAGGAATCACTTATTTCCACGATGTACAGAGTTTAAGCCATAGTACATTTACTTTTGATAATTGACGTCCTTTTTATACAATTTTATGTGTATTGGGGTGTTTTCATGGTGTTTTATTGTTAGAAATGGTTTTAAATAAATCAAAATTAAATAAATAATTACATGACAACTATAAAGTTAATAGCATTTTATAATTCTGCAGCCAAGAAGAAGTGCAGAAAGCATCATTTCTGGCAGTCTTCCTATAAGTGTCACCACACACCGCTGCTCAGGCTGATTCAGCTCTGCTGCCAGAAGGACAGATACAGATTCATACCACACATTTTTATAACACACCTGTCCAACAGAGACAGGTGTGTTATAGGTTTACTCTGTCAAGTTATCAATAATAATTTTCCAAAAGTATTTCTGGGGAAAATAGAAAAAATTTCATCTTATTTTTTTATATCCAGTCAGAACATGTAGTAGCTGGGGCTTCTGTAGAAACTTTGCTCAGTGACATCAAATGTAAAACTGAAACTGTAAGCACCGCTCCTTTAGGAGCAGGCCAGGTATTCAGCATTTGTTACTATGGTGATCTATAAAGGGCCACCCACCCACTCACACACTACTACACCCACCTGCTGTTTTCTTCATCCTTTGATATACAAGACACATGAAAATACTAATGCCAATAGCCAGGACAAGCACCGGAACCAGGACCCCGGGGAGAACTTTGGGCCAGATTGGAGGAGGAGGAGGACGCTCTGTAATGAACACAAACACAACCTGAACATGATGCTGAATGTTTTGAAGAATTCATTAATAATTAATATGAATTCACTGATAATAACCATGCTAATTGAAATGAATTCTAGTATGACCTCTGCTTCAAATGGATTTAAGATTTTTAAATCTTATTTTGATTGTTTTTATAATGATTTCTGCTGATGAAATCACAGTTATATGTTGGTTTATCCTTTTTAAACAGAAGTCTGACCTTGGCTACGTTCACACTGCAGGCGAAAGCGCATCAAATTCGACTTTTTTGACCCTATGCGACCCATATCCGATCATGGTATGACAGTTTGAACGGCACAAATCCGATATTTTCAAATCCGATCTGGGTCACTTTCGTATGTGGTACTGAATCCGGATACATATCTGATGTTTTCGAAAGCGACTGCTGTTTGAACGGTCATGTCGCATTAAATCCGCCTTTTACATCACTGACACAAGACAGACGCCAATTATCAGCGCCTGGCTATTTAATCTGCAGATTCTAACAGAAATCTGCAACTATCCTTTGAAGCACCGCTCCTCTCTAAAACAGCAATAAGGATCATTATTAGGCCATATGTAAATAACAAAATAACTTTATTACTTAAAGCAAAATTGGGAAACCTAAAGTCCGAAACAAGTCTTTATATTAAGTGTCATCAGTCAAACAATGCTGTTTGGTCTGGGTCTAAACAGAGCGCGTTGTGTGTGACGTCTTCTTTTGCGCTTTGAGGACCGTGAATGGTTCACACTAGAGCGCGTTTGCTGTCACATTTTATTTGTAGTGTAAACAACCAGACAAAAAAATCGGATTTGATCAAAAAATTGGAATTGAGCATTAAGACCTGCAGTGTGAACGTAGCCTTTGATCTTCTCTGGTTATGTTGACTGTTCCTGAAAGCCTTTCATCTTTGTAATGTTGAATGGTCACTTTTCTCTCTGGTCACTCTCTAAGGGGAATCTACAGCACTGACCTTTGACCTTTAGTTGCACTTCAGTCTGGTTCTGTTTTTCTCCAACCTTGCGTACGGTGCAGGTGTAGAGTCCACTGTCAGAGAATGTAGGTTTTCTCAGAGTGAGGCTGAGGTCTCCGGTCTTCAGGGCGTCCTTTTGAATGGATGTTCTGTTGACGTATTGTTTATTTTGCTCTGTAAGATAATCACCTTCCTCTGTGCGAACATGGATGATTGAAGGATTCAGGTCATCGCGTCCCCACACAACTACACCCTCTTCAGCTGGAACGGGAAGCTGGCAGAGCAGAAGGACAGACTCCTCCCCCTCATACACCTCGACTCCTGAGGCATACTGGGAAACTGAGGACGCAGAAAGAGGTTAAATCAGTCTGAGTTCCATATTAAACAAACAATGTGAGCCGGTGTAGAATTATCTGTAGCTCAATTGTGCAAACACATGAAAAGAAAGTCCAGCTTTCCTGTTTCTATTCTGAAATTTAAGAAACTACAAAATGAAAACGGTAGTGGGTGAACTTCTGTCCTGAGTTCCTGAGGCTAAAAAACAGTTTCTGAAAGCAGATCTGAGTTTTGTCATAGTTAGGGGTGGATCAGGTGACACTGACTCATTCCTTAGTTATGAGGTCAGGCTGCTGGAGGCTTCCCATGATGCATTTTTCCTCCTTTCCCATTATTTTCATTCCCCGTGCATTTATACACCACTACAGGATGTCATTACCCTTGTCTTTTCTCTCCCTTTTTTGTTGTTGTTTTTCTTCCTTCACACAGTCACCAAGTGCTGGTCATAGGGGATCATCTGACTGTTGAGGTTTTGATTCTAATACTGTAGGTTCTTTACAATATTAAGCTCCTTGACATGACTGTTGTTCTGAACTAGTGGTATATAAATAGGACAGAATTTAAATGAATTATTTTAATGTTTAAAAAACAAGTGGAAAAGTAGACACAGCTGAACTGAGCCAGAATTGCAAAACTAGATTACAAAACTAAGACAGAACCTATAGAAATAAGCTAGAAAATATCTACTAAAAACAAAACTGATAAAACATAACAATATACTAACTATGAATCAAGCAGGAATTAGACACCAACAAACAGAACTCTTAGGTCCATAACTCAAAGATGGAGGACCATGACAATGTCACTTATTCAATATAACTATAGTATAAATCCTCAGAGGTATACACACTGTGTGAAAACTCTGTCAGCACATGTAAAAACATGCAGGAGGAGCACAGGTGTTTTAAATCGAGTAAAATAAGGAAATTTCCTGCCTCAGAGCCGCAGCGTGACATAACAGTAAGTACTATTAGTCAATATACAGCGATTCTCTGATGTTCATGCATTTTCTTTTGTGACCTTTAGATGAACAGAAATGTTAGTTATTGATTATAAATATAAATACAATTAATTTAATAAACATTAATAAACTAATGCTATGCTTTATACTGACATATAGCTCAGGTGGCAGAGCAGGTCAGCCACTAATCAGAAGGTCGGTGGTTCGATCCCAGGCTGCATCCTGGCTGCATGTCAAATATCCTTGGGCAAGATACTAACCCCATGTTTGCCTACTGGTGGTGGTCAGAGGGCCTGGTGGCGCCTGTGTCCGGCAGCCTCGCCTCTGTCAGTGCGCCCCAGGGCAGCTGTGGCTACAATGTAGCTTGCCATTGCCAGTGTGTGAATGTGTGTGTGAATGGGTGAATGACTGAATGTAGTGTAAAGCGCTTTGGGGTCCTATGGACTAGAAAAGCGCTATACAAATGCAGGCCATTTACCATATAGAGAACACAGTCTGTTCAGGACCAAGTCTTCTGCCTAATATCATAATGTTCCACATGCATTGTAATTTAATGAAATATATTTTCAAGTAGCCTAATAAATGTGTCACTGCATGTACATCATCATCATCTGTCAAGTAAGAGAAGCAAAGTACAATTCAGTAGGCCAGGTTTCAACAGCATTGATGCTTATTGATGACCTGGGGTCCCCAGTTTCACAGCGGCAGGGGAAACCCAGTACAAAATGCATGCACGCAGTCGAGCAGTGGACTGGCAGGATTTTAATAGGCTACCGACTTTAATAAATACCCAGTATGACACTGCACAATACCGGTACATTGGCATGTGCGTATTTACCCAAATGACACAGTTACTGTGTAATGCGGATGTGTCCGACGCAGATCATGTTTTGTTCTTCTGCACTCTGCGCAAGTAATCAACCCATATTTGAACGCAGAGCAGTCCTGCTTCCACCTGAGCTATCAGTTATATCTGTGTTGATATCTCTGTGAAAAGCGGTGGAATTTAAATATTTACCCAACTGTAAGTGAGGGAGAGGGATGACAGAGAGACAGAGAGGTAATGAGGAAAGAATGAAAAACGTAAGAAAACACGCACACGGGAGGGAGCCGAAAGCAGCGATTAAGAACTGATACAGATGCTCACACAGACGACTTCATGTTCTTAACTTCATACTGGCATTTTAACAAGTTATATCTGAGTAATCTTAAGTTGTTACTGTGGTGAAATAACGTGAACTGGACGTGAAGAATCGCCACACTCGGTGCGTGTGTGCGCCAAGTGAGTATTTCAACTGTTGACTGATCAAACTGACAGAAACAGAAAGAGGAATAAAGGTGATGTTACCGAGCAGGAGGGAGACAAGCAGCACGGTTATCCTCATCCTCCTGGACGACTCCAGTTTAATCTGACTGACCGAAGAACCAGATTAAAGTGACCGAGAGGAAGAAAACAGATGAACAGACCTCCTTCACCTTGCACTAGTTTATCGCCCTTCCCACAATGAATCCACCTTTACTTTCGGTTGAACCGGAAGTCTGATGCTTTCACAATACAATACAGTTTTTAAATTAAGTAATTTCACTAAAGAATGTTCTGGGCTTTTATAAAGTCAGTGAATTCACCGCATCATTATATTTGACCGATTCTTAGTATTGTTATTCTAACTGTTTGATCTTTAGTAAAGACGCTGGATTCGTGATTCTTTGTAAGCATTTGCTGTAACTGAAGAGACATTACATGCAAACAGCTTGACTCATGGCTGGGGACCCGGCACAGTCCCGTCTTAGACATTTTTACTGGTGCATGCGCAGTGCACTATTTGCTTCGAACAGATATGGGAAACCCCTGTTTTACAATAACACTGGTGAGATGTTCTTTCTTTAGCTTAGGACTGTATGACTAACGACATCTTCAGCATAATGCATTAACAATAGATTCTAGTTTATAGCATTATAGCTTGAAAATAATCATTCACTTCAAACCTGAAACTCTTTCACTGGTAAGAACATAATCAGCATTTCACTTTGTCATCATCAAGTTACATGTAGTTTCCACGAATAGCAATAGCTTTTTTAAACAGTCCATCTTCTACGCCTTAGTGTTCATACGTGGAGTTTTGGCTTGCAAACTCTCCCAGATCATCTAATGTAAGAACTGCCAGCCAGCTGAGAGGACTGTTCAGCCATCTACAAGCCTTTTTTTTAAAACCATCTGGAAGTTGTACCTTTGCAGTCTCAGCATCATACGCTGCAGTCTGGCTGGAGCTGACTGTATGGGCTTGTTTAGGATTGTGACTGATGATCAGTTTAGATTTGGAGCTGTGACGTTTTCTAATGTGTGGGCATCTCATTAATTGCTTTGGTCTTCACTGGATCAGGCTTTAAGCCTTTGCCTGTGAAAACACGTCCAACATAACAGGCTTCTTTGAGTAGGATTTGCACTTTAGGGGGTTAAGTCCCAGTTTGACTTCCCTCGCACGGTTGAGTACCATTCTGAGATTCTGTTAATGCTCTTTCATATCTCTTCCACCAGTGATTATGTCGTCGACGATGACAGCACAGGGGTATCCAGCAAAGATCTGCTCTACTGCACTCTGGAACACCTCACTGGCTGAGTTGATTCCATATGGCATTCTGAGAAAGCAGAAAATGGAGAGTTGAAAGTTGTGAGCATGGATGACTTGAAGTCAAGCGTTATCTGCCAAGAGGAGCATTTCACATCCAGGACAGAAAAGACTGTGAAGTTAGGCATTTGTGCGCCCACTGCCTCTATGGTACGCATAGGGTGATGCAGGCGTTTCAGAGCTTTATTTAAATCTCTTTGATCAATGCAGTGTAATGTCATCTGAATTTTAGAGTAGAGGTTGTACATCTTGATCCACTACAAAGAATTGCAGAGGGTATTCCTTGTCTCCAGAGTGACACGAGCGTTTAACTGTGCCAGCTGTTTGATTTCCTCACCTCCATATGCCTCCAGTTTGGTTTTCTGTGATGGCAGGAGTTTTCCATCTTGTTTCAGTTGTACAAAAAAGAACGGCTGGAATGTCATTACATTTAGCGCCGCTCTATTGGTTTTCTATTAATATGCACAGCGGTGAATATGTCATTCCTATACAGAAAACAGGGGTTCACAGAGTCTACATTGACCCCATTCACAAAGAACATTTCCTCATCACTGCTGGGCGCTTGCATCTCAACACTGTTTACAGATCTCTTTTTAAATCCCCTTGTTTGTGATGACTTGCAGCATTTCTGGAAGTGATTCCATTTTTTGCATTTATGACATTACTGCCATATGCTGGGCATTTATCTCTTTTTGCCATGTGGCTTCCTCCACAGTTGTTACAGTTAGTTATTGCATGTGCAGCACTCTGTTCTGATTGTGTTGAATGCTATTCCTTTCCTTACACAGTTTCCGGGTCTACACTAACCATACATTTACTTACATACAGAAATACATCTTTATCGTATGTATTTCTCCTCTTTGTTATTTATTCCTGCACAGCTGGCTTGGATCACCCATAATTTCATTGTACATGTACAATGACAATAAAGGTCTATTCTATTCTATTCTATTCTATTCTATTCTATTCTATTCTATATTTAACATTTAAATATGAATAAACGTATACTGATATGAAGTCAGTTCATTAAAAGTCCCTTATTTTCTCCTTCATAGTTTCAGTCGAGTGTTTAACGGTGGGTTAAAAGTTGCCTCTTTCAGTTCCGTGATCACACAGAAAACAGGGTCACAATGACACAGACGTGTTATTAGGAGTCATTCTTTATTCCCACTACACTTCATAAACACTTTTTCTTTCCAGTTTTATACTGAATACTGAAATGTCTGCATTTGTTGAAACCATGACTCATTCAACCAGTAGAGGCTTGTTTTTAACATTTACTGAGCAGCAACCTTCAAAATATATGCTGGGTGTTCACAGTAGAATTAAAGTTATTAGGTGGCACTGGATTCAGCTGCAGGTTGTGCTGTGCAAACACTGACCTTCTAGTTTATAGTTGGGTTTCTGTGAATGTTTTTATAGTCAAAAAATTTTATATCTACTATTTATTGTGTTATTGTGTTCTCCTCATTCTCCCAAATAATTGATAAGTACTGAAAAAACCGTGAGAGTGACACAACAGTTTCTTGTTTGAAGAAGATGGTCAGTTGAGTTCTTCCGCTGTGGAGTTTCCCATCTTCTTCTTCCTGGTCCTGTGTGTGTGTGGGTTCCCTCAAGATACTCAGTCTTTCTCCCCCAGTCCAAAGACATGTATATAAGGATAACTGCATGAATGGCTGTGGGCCTCTCTGAGAAAGAAGAGAAGAAGAAAAAAGAAAAGAAGAAGAAGAAAATGGCAGCTGACAAACCGTATCCATGCAAACGCTACACAAATGCAGGTGTAAACACAGCAGGTTACAGAAACAACAGAAGTAAGATCCAAAGTGTGAGTAACACTGTTTGTGTGGACTGAATAACTTCACCACACCCTGAATATGAAACTGAGCCGAGCAACAACTTCTGCACCTCATTTCTGCTTTTCAGATCTTCACATCTGTTTTAGGAACCCATCATCACACTGAGCCACTTCAGTGCACATCATCACTGAACACATTGTGATGTTTTTTAAACCCACCTGAACCAAAGGACTTGGTTTGTTATGTTCAGAAAAAGAGATCCTGTCAATTAAGACAGAGACAGACAGTGAAAGTAACAGACTGACACTGGATCAACTACAGCAAAATGAAAGCAAACACTGAAAAAAGGAGCAATAAGGAGAATCAGAAGTGGCGAGGACGTTGATTTTAGTGGCTTTAAAAACAAATGGTGTTAGCAGTCGTTACCAGGGATTTTGTGGTTCTGTGGTTCCACCTCTGCTGCTTCCATGAATAGCAGAGCGGGTTTGTGGCTTTCTCTTGTGTTGATGTTGTTCTGTAAGTGGGCCATGACTATCAGGTTCAGAGCTAACGGGTGATGGTCATTCATGCTTTTTACTGCTGCAATCATTGTACATGTCTTAAGGCACACTGGCACCAAAGCCTGGGAGAGTGAGATGTTATCTGAGTTTATGAGCACACTCTCTTGTATTATTCTGGCCTGCTGCTTCATAGGGGCTGCTGCACTGCAGTGGCCTCGTCTTCACGCCCTCCAAAGCTATTAGCCTGCTATTTGTTGTATTTAGTGTGAAAATAAGATCCTTATAATTTAATTCATTCGAACAAACAGATTTCACACTTTTGTGTTATGAGTTTCACCAAGTCCTCCAAATTTGGTGTTTCAAGTAAATGTGTACCACTGTGGACAGTAGAGGGCAGCAGAGTGCCAACCATGGGACTGCAATAATGATATGACTGTATAAGCTTGCCTTTCTGACCAAACTGATCAGCTGATTGGCAGCACGTTTCATCTACTCATTCTTTCTCCTTTTTTAAGGGACGTTAATCTTTTTTCATATCCACTGTTATAATTGCACTGAACTGTTTCCAATATGCTGGATGATAGTCTCTATTAGGTATGTCCTTATGAAGTTATATTTGTTATTCATTTTATCTATTTATTTTCATTTTTTGACTTATTGTCATGACAGGTTATTGTCATGCACGTGAGTAGATGGGCAAAGTTTGCTGACCTCAGCTGGCCAGTGGCTTCAAACCCAGGACTTTCTTGCTGTGAGGCAATGGTGCTAACCACACACCACACACCATTGTTAAGGCCTGTGAGCTGGTTGTAACAGTGCAAAGAGAAAATATTCAGTCAATGATCATGAGTAGAACAAAATGCAGATTTAGGGCAGAGACATGGACACAAGCTTCAGTTTTGGAGGAAATCACAACATTTACTTGTATTTCTGTAATACCTTTAATCCCAGTGCTGCAGAAAACCTAAAATGAGAGGGTTCTGCACCCTTGTGGAGAGGTGACTGGGAGGTCCCAAACTCTCTACTCAAAGCTGTTCGCTCCCAAAGACGATGATACTGGCGTAAGAATACTTGACATTTCTTTAAATTACTGCTAAACTCTAACACAACTCATTGAAACATGTTATATTTTATCTGCACAACAATGTCATTTTGTGACTTTTCTGTTGTTTTGTGTTCCTGGTTTTGGAAGAATACAAAAGTTTCTAAAACAGATGGACGACTTCTGTAAAATAATTTTTCATTTGTGATCGACTAAGTAACTTTTTTTTTCTTTTTGTTCTTTTTATTTTCAATTAATTATTTAATAAGAACCTTAATTCTGAAACTTGGTGGGAAACGTTTAGGAGACCTAAAAGAAAATGGATTTCTTCCAAAACCATAAAATTACAGGTTATCGTTGCTAACATCCTTTATTTTTACAGCAACTACAATACATGTCCCCACCACTATTTACTCTCCTTATTTTGACAGTTAAAGACATCAAAAAGTCTCACCATCTGCAGTGTTGTTAGTCTGTTCAGTGATGTTCTTTGCAATCTTTATGGAAAACTGAATTAACCTGAT